CCGCCCTTTCCTTTTACTCGATCCCTCCGACAAGGCTGCCCGCTAGCGCCATTTCTGTTTGTCTTGCAAATGGATGTGTTGCTCAATAAGGTGAGGTATAATCCTTACATTATTGAGCCGAGAACCCAACAACAACAACAATTCAAAGGTAGCGCATTGGCAGATGACCTCAACATAGTTTCTAGGAATACAACCACTTCTCTGCAAGCGGTTCGAGAGACACTGGTAAAATATTGTGTGCTCTGTGAGGCTCAAGTTAACTGGTCAAAGTCAGTGTTTTTCTTGCCAGACCAGTATGGGATTTGTGTGGATTTTGGGATGAAAAAGATCCCTGCTGACTCTTCTGAAAGATTTTTAGGGGTGCAAGTTTCCTTACAGAATTGTGTTGAAACACAAGACAAGATCCTGGTGGGCAAAGTGGAGCAGCGACTGCAAAAATGGAAACTAATTTACGGCCTCTCGTTGTTTGGGAGGGTCCTAATTGTGAATGCAACAGTTTTTTCTCAGCTGTGGTATGTGGGAACAATCAGACCTCTGGGGAAGAAGGCTGCACAGTCCATTAGAGTGGCGGCCACTAAGTACATCTAGAAACCTGAGGCGGAGGAAGGGTAAGACCATATGTCTAAGTTATCCTAGGATAAGATCACGACGGTAAAGGAGGAAGGAGGGCTGGCAGTGCTTGATCCCATACGCCAAAATAAGGCCCTCCTCTCCAAATGGCCGGTTAAGGCGGTCACGGATACAGAGGAGCGCCGCAAGGTGGCTCTGGCAGAATACATCCTGGCCAAGGATTGGGGCCTGAGCTATGGGGAGGATGTGTGGTTATTAATGTCGACCCCAACATATCAGCGACGAAGGCCGAAGTCCACTTTTTGGCAAGGGGTCATTCAGGCATGGTGGACATTGGCGCCAGGTCCCATCAGAGAACCACGAACACGGGACAAAGTACTGCGTCAACCTTTGTTCGATCGCTGGATCAAGAACCAGGAAGGGTCTACCTTTGCAATAACAGGGAGAGGCAATTTCCGGAGAGCTTGGGTGGAAAGAGGAGTGCTCAGGGTGGAGGACTTGTGGGATGAGCCACGAAAGACTTGGAGAAGTACAGAGGATTTGAGGATTAAACTCGGAAGATTGTGGCATGTGGAAACAAGGAGGGTAGCGCTAATGCATGCCATACCGGCAAATTGGAATCAACTGCTGGAGAATGGAACAACCACAGGCCAGTGGTACCGACCTGTGCTCATCATGGGAGGATAACGGCAAGTTTACAAACAAGTGGATCAAGGAAAGATCGAAGTATGGGAAAGGCAAACGAAGGAAGGCATTACCCAAGACACGCTGGCATTTAAAGAGGAACAAGCGTTTGCCAACTCTTGCTTAATGGAGGAAGTCAGGGTGGTTTTGCAATTCTCTGTGGCTGGGACACCTCAACCGGTCCTGCAGCTTATTGGCACCCCAATCAGACTGATGCGATTGGATATCGGCCTAATTGGGTGGCCTAAGCTAAGGGGCCAACCGACAATTCACCAATATACCTCTAAGCTGGGCATGGGGGTACAAAGATTGGAAGGAAGTTCTTCCAGGAGGATACAGGAGGTCATACCTGAGTCCTGCACAGGCTCAAGTCTGTCTGTGGAATTTTACAGGGAAAAATGGAAGGTGTGCCAGAGATTGTCGGACAAGAAAGCCGCTTCGGTGGTGTGACTGATAACCCATGCTGCCCCGTTGGATGCGGTATCATTGTTCAAAAGAGGGATGAACGTGGACGTGAGGTGTGTCGGATGCCACCGCCAACCTGAGGACAATGAGCACCTGTGGGGTACATGCACCCTCTCATTTCGGATTTGGAAGTGGTGGTCCCACCATTGGAAGGAGATGGGCGGGCCTGTGGAGTTAGAAAGGGACCTGGAATGGGCAATAACGGGGCAGCTTAGGCACCCATTGAAAAGCGGGAAGGGGTGGGGGTATGTGGCAATGGCAATCCGTGCACTAGTGATTTGGTGGATTTGGAAAGAGAGGAACTCCGTGTTATTTCAAGGCAAGTACTTTTCGGATGCTGAACTGAAGAGCGGCATGAAGTCCTCCCTCGGATGCATGATATCAGTGGATTGGAGGAAGAAAGTTTTATCGAGGGTTGAACCGGGACGTCACAGGGCAAGATTATGGTTCCTGCGCTCATGGGCCAAGAACAATCGGTTGGTAGCTGTTTCAGCTCTAACTGGGAAACTGGTACTATCCCCGTGGTTAAGGGCAGTGTAATTTGCAGAAGCAATGCAGGGTTGTAGGGAAAGGTCCCTCTGGAGAATAGAATCTTCAGTGGGGATAAAATTGGGATTTTGGGTATTAGGAACTTGGATCGGGAGAGGGCAGGGAATAACCGTAGTAGTCGTTGGGAAATGGGGTGACAGAGGGAATTGGGTTGAAGGATAGGAATGTTGGACTTGAAACAAGGCCGGTTCTACCTACCACTGGGTAGCTCGGCATGCCCTGAGGTTCTGTTGATAGGTCCTGGATCCGAAATAGGGTCAAAGGGGGCTGCCCTTAAGAGGGAACTCGCGGGGCTGTCCGGGAACTCGAGTGGGGCCATGCGTTTTCCTTTTGTCTGCCAGGTTGGTCTGGCTAGGCTGTTGTTTGCTGTGTTATCAGCCAGGTTGGTCTGGCAGTGCCAAAACTTGTGTCGGTGTCCGGGTAGAATCGTGAGGTTCCCGGCCTCCCATGTTCTTCACTGTGCCGCACAAGCGCGGAAGCGCAGCCACTCGGGAGTGAGACTGGCCAGCGGGCAGGGCTTGAAGCGCACAGGACGAAAAGGATTGTGAATGGGCCTCGCCACACCACTCTTGAAACGGGGAAATTTTTCAAGAGCTGTCAGACGTTCTCAAGAGTTGTGTTTTCAAGAGTTTTTT